TATTCTATTCTATTCTATTCTATTCTATTCTATTCTATTCTATTCTATTCTATTCTATTCTATTCCATTCCATTCCATTCCATTCCATTCCACTCCACTCATTTAATGTTATGGATTATTTTAATATGTATAAAGTAGACGGGCTTGGAAGTGTCCACAGACCTCCAAAGTCATCTTCACAAGCCCTCTCTTCTACATCTTGATACTGTCTGGAAAAATCCTCCAGAAAAGAATCCCTGACTTCCACTGTAGCCCCAAAATGAACTTTTTTTTGTAAGGTTCCAACAATTAAGAGAGATATTCTTAATAGTATGGCACTCAAAGATGCAGGGTTATTAAAAATAGAACGTTACTGAAAGCTGATCCAGGAAAGCTCCAGTTCCTCACATAGAAGGGAAGACAAGAATCACACAACCCTATAGACAACACACATAAAGACTTGACTCAGTCAGCTTTTGCTGCTGAGATTGTGTGTGGCAAGTTTTTTTCCCCTGCTGTGCTACAGATCAGAATGGTTGCAGAGCTTTCCAACAGCATTCAAAGCAACTCTTGTCAGAATCCTCACTTTAGAAAATCTTCCTACATCTTATTTTTAAAATACATATCAACAATCATGTGTAGAAGTTGTGGTTGGATTCGGTGGCATCTGGGATGATTGCTTTAAATGTTTGCAGAATTTGAATTTATCTGTGGTGATAGTTTTTTCAACAGGATTACGGACCAAGAAATCCGAATTGTACACTTTTTGAATAAGCAAAGAGAAATAATACTATTTTCCTTTCCCTTTAGGACTGTCTACATAGTTCTGTGACTATCATTTGCCCTATTACAATGAAGAGTGTTAAGCAGAACTTGAAAATGAAGAATACTGGTGAATCTGGGATTAGCTCAAACTGCCTGCCAGGTAAATTATTCATTTATTTATTAGCCCAGTTTATATCACTCCAGCTTCCTTCTGTCTGCTTTTTTTGTCTGTGTATGTCTTTGAGACAATTTTTGACTCTGACAATGACCTGGATAAGTCCCTACAGTTTTCAGAACTGATCTACCATTGTTTTCTTCCCAGGACAGAGTGAGAGTGACTGGCTCAAGGTCAAGCCAGCTGCTTCATGTCTATAATAGGGCTAAAATTTACAGTCTTCCAGTTTCTAGTGTGATGCCTTCAGCACTACACCAAATTGATTCTGTTTCCCTTTCATAAATACCTAGCTGAAATGAGGTCCTTACTCTATCAAGGAAATATTAGAAAGGTGGGCATCAAATGATTAGAGAAGTCTGAAATAGAGATTTTTAAAACAATAGCTAAATTTACCGGTGGACTCCTCAGACCCTTAGTTAATGAATTATATAGAGCCGTGTTGGCACAGTGGTTAGAATGCAGTATTGCAGGCTAACTCTGCCCACTGTCAGGAGTTTGATCCTGACCGGTTCAAGGTTGACTAACCCTTCTATCTTGGAAGGATCCAGACTGTTGGGGGCAATATGCTGACTTGTAAACCTCTTGTAAAGCACTATGACGTGATATAACTGCTATTGCTATTATTCCTGTTAATTTTCCCCACCCAGTTGTTTTTTGGCTGCAAAATTAATTGTAATCTACTTCATATACTAAACGAGCAGCTATTAATCAAAGGAAGATTGAACCCAAACAATGCTCTATGGCAGGGGTGTCACACTTGATTTCACTGAGGGCCACATCAGGGTTGTGTTTGACCTTGGAGGGCCAGGGTGTGTGTATGTGGGGTGTGGCCGGGCCATGGTGGGCGTGACATAGGACTCATGTCATGGTCACCTGTGGTGGCCAAGTGTAAGGCAGGACTTCCCTGAGACCTTCCCTCACTCTCATTATAATTCCCTCCTTCCTTCCCCTCTTTCCTTATTTTTCCTTCCTTGATCTCTTCTCATCTTCCCTTCTTTTTCTTTGTCTTTCCTCTTTTCCTCTCTCCTTTCCTGTTCCTTCTTGCATGATCAAATGCAAAAGGGGAAATATTTCTTGATTTGTTTTGTTTGTGTTGATAGCCCTCTTCCAGCAAAAATGGAGCCGCCCCCCCCCCCGCGCATGCCCCAAAATGGCAAAAAAACAGAGCTGGGGGGGGGATGCCCCCCAAGCTCCTCTTTTGCTAGTAGAGGCACTGCGGGCCAGTCCTTTGCTGTTCACCACAATTTCTAACTTACCAACTGCAATCATTCACTTAACAACTGTGGCAAGAAAGGTCGTAAAATGGGGCAAAACTCACTTCACAAATATCTCACTTGACAACAGAAAATCTGGACTCAATTGTGCTGGTCGTTAAGTCGAGGGCTACCTGTATAGAGCTTTGGGATCATTTGCAGAGAAAAAGGCATCAACCGGGCCGATATGAAAAATATTCCATTTTCGGCTTGACATTGCAGAAACAGGGAGCAGCGCCAATTCCACCACCTCCTTGCAGCCAGAGAATTCAGAAAGCAGAACGTGTCGAGCTGTGTATGATTACCACGCAGAAAGAGAGGACGAGCTTTGCTTAAGTAAAGGTAACATTTACTCATCCTAATCTCCATAGAAGTTTGGGGTGAAAAAAGAGAGTTGGAAATCAATAAAATGCTAATCCCTTTTGAGGACTGTAATAAAAAAATCAATGGGTGCCCAACCCATATTTTTTTTAAACAAAGAGGACCAGTAGAGGGATTCAAATTTTTACTACTGGTTCTGTGGCTTGGTGGGCATGGCTTGGTGGGTGTGGCAGGGAAAGGTTATTGCAAAATCCCCATTCCCTCCCCACCCCACTAACCTGCTTTCCAGCTCCGTTCTCCTATGCAGGGCAACCAAAGAAGACCCAGCTGATCAGCTGGGACTCGTGAGGCAGAGAATAGATGGGGTTGGCAGGGCCAGTCAGAGGTGGGATTCGCCGGTTCTCCGAACTACTCAAAATTTCCGCTACTGGTTCTCCAGAACCGTTCAGAACCTGCTGAATACCACCTCTGAAGAGGACTCATTAACATAGGTCATAGAACTATTGGGGGCCCTCTGGCATGGTTTGCCAATGTCAACTTATCACAGTTGATTTGTTATTCAGAGCTTTTTTCCGTTTGTGATGCTCTTCGGTATTCCTACTGGGCCACCATCTCAAGGCGGCTGCCCATGTTTTTAATCCCCCTTATTGGATGCTAAAAATGAAAGTGGAGAAAGAACGAAAGAGGTAACCAAATCTCATTTGCCTAAAAAATTCTGAAAGTTTGTGGGTCATTTCAGAACTTTGTTCTGCCTAGGCCCTTGGATAATTGTTTCAGAATGTAACAAGAAAAAGCTACGCAGTTAGAATTACTTTGATGAGAAAACTTGGGATATGAGCTAACTATGCAAATATATATATATTTAAAAGAAACTAATTTGGTAAAGGTTTGAATCCTGCCTAACTCTATCAGTGTACCTCAAATAATAGTAATTATCTCAATGATAAATGGACTGAGAAAATACAGGTTTAAAACAGCCGTCCTAAGTTGGCCAAATTAAAACTCAAGGGAGGAACGTGGCTGTCATTACAATCACATAGAAGAATATTATAATCACACCTTGAACATTTCTGCAGATGTTCATTGATCAAAGATAAACAGCTTGAAAAAAAAAAAGATGGAAATCTATGTATAAAGAAACCAGCTAGGGAATTTAAAAAAACCTGAGCTGATATTGCAAAAGGACCGGCTTACAGCTAAAGGCTATTAAAAGCAAGTCTGTATCTTGTAATAGAGCTTTAGAAATCAAGCTTGTTATAAATTGGTTCAATGATGTGGTTCCTGATTAAGTTAAGCAACAGTGTGGTTACGATGAACCAGAGGAATGGAATGAACTTCATTCAGAATTCAAAGAATGCACCGTTTTTTCTAACCCAGTTTTAGCTCTGCAAAGTTGTGTCTCCTGATCTTCTTCCTACTTACGTGCAAGATGCACTCAAGAGTAGGTGCCTTGTTTGAAAGCCTGTAGAACAGGGGGTGACAAACTCAAGGCCCGGGGGCCAGATCTGGCCCATGGGCCCGCCCTGCAAACAAAGAAGGACCGGCCCGCAGTGCCTCTGCCAGCAAAAACAGGGCTCCTCCCAACCTCCGTTTTAGCTGGCAGAGAGTTGCAAGAGACCATCCCAGACGAAAACGAAGCTCGGGAGCCTGTTTTTGCTGGCAGAGCGCTCAGGCCGCCACAGGTGACACAAGTGACATCATGCTGGCTACGCCCATCCTGGCCTCCCAAGGTCAAACACAACCTGATTCAGCCCTCAATGAAATTTGAGTTTGACACACCTACTGTAGAGGGAAGGGCTTCTATACATGCCTTGCATTGGTGGGTATTGTCCCATGCATTAGATTAAATGACACAACATAATTAAGTAAATATTAACTGGCTTGTATTATCCTTTCAGGTGATGTAATTGTAATTCATCACAAAGACAAGAGTGGTTGGTGGTACGGTTCTAGAAAGGGGAAACAAGGCAATTTTCCTGCTACATATGTGGAAGAAGTCACTCTCGCGACTGACAGGAGCAATGATGAACCTTCTCTTTAAAACGAAAAGAAAAATAACCACCCCAATATGGATAACAAATCCAACAGACATGTTTCTATGCTCAGAATAGAAGCCAAAGAATACTTTTATTTATAAGCAGCTCTGAAATGGATATTTGGTGAATTAGCATTGCAACAAAACAATTAGAGACAACTTCCATTAAATCCCTTTTAAATGATACTCTTAAATTATCACGTTAACCAGTCATTTAATAAATTGTTGGGAGATCTCTGCGATATAATGAAAGGGAAACTGACATTTATTTCTGAAATGCAAGAGGAAGTCAATTTACATAGAGATTATTCATAAACGGAATTGGCACCATGTAATCAAATTCTACACAATGTTTCTTGTTTCAGACTCATAAGACTTTAGGACATGAAGATAATAGCACCCCTATTGCAAGGCTGAGCAAACCAGAAATTTGTTCTGCTAGAAGATACAAGACTTCCAATTTTCAAATATACCCCCTTGAGGGGATCCTCGGATTATTATTTTGTTGCCTAGTGAGGTAGGACAATCATTCAACAGATGATTGGTTACTATTTCCTAATTCTATTAGGTTATTAGTTAGATATGTTACATTTGAATCCTTCCAAGAGTTATGTCCAGCACAGCTAGCTTTCCACCCACACCTATTTTATTCTCACAACCCAGGTTGCATTAAAAACTCAAAATAAGAATGAAGATCTGGACCTATGTTTTCACAATCATTGTCCAAGACCTTCAAGATGTTACAAGACTTTTATTCTTCCCAAGTATGAAGTGACAAAATATGAAGGGCAGATTTAGAGAATAAGCAGTGCTTTATTGGTAGGTCAAAGCAATGAAGGCTTTTCTAACATTGGCAATAAATGCAGAGAAATTGTTGGTTTCTCTCACTTTCCGCTGTAGTTCTTCTGTGCAGTCCAAGGGAGGAGAACAAGAGACCACTAGGAAAAAGCAGTGAATTATATTCTTCAAAAAAAATTGAAAATAAGACATCCTGACACAGTATATTACATCTGGACATATAAAAGTCAGAAAGGGACATAGAAAAGAATATCCTGCCTTCACTTCTCACAAGTTTCTATCTCAACATCAGACCAAGAAACACATATGTGGGAAGTTGAATGCTGGCTTCATATTATCAGCTGTCTCTTATACTGCAAGTCATTGTGAAGGTTTTAAATCTTCCTGAGGGCTTTTATTAAAATATATTACTCTATTTTGGTTTGTTTTACTCTAAACTGTTTGGGAAGTTTTAATAAACTAGTCAATACATTCTAAGAAAACTGGGCTATCTCTTACCATTACTTTTCACAGCTGCTAGATCAGGGGTGTCAAACTGGATTTCTTCGAGGGCAAGACCAGCATTGTAGGTGTCTTCCATGGGCTGGCAGGACGGGATGGATGCCTCCTTCAGCACCCTGATGGCCACAACAGAGCATGGGGGGGTGGGGGTGTCCACATGTGGCCCCCTTGCAGCTAGTTTTTACCCTCCATGCCTCCTGCCGGCCATTTTGGGCTGTTTTGGGGGCCTTTTTCAGCCCATTTTTGGGCCGTTCTCAGGGCTGTTCTCGGCCTGTTTTCCAACCTGTTTTGGGGCCCATTTTTGACCAGCAGAGTGCTGAAGGAGGCCATGGAGGGTGAAAATGAAGTGCGGGGGGGGGGGGGGCGCATGCATCCCGTTTTAGTCGCTACTGGCACCCTGGGCTGGTCCTTTGATATTTCCAGGCTGACCCCGTGGTCTGGATTTAAGCACCCCGCAGGCCAGATGTGCGTTTGACACCCCTGTGCTAGATAAGTGGCCACTAATACTTCACAAAGCAGAAATAAGAGAATGGATAGCTACAAGAATGACCATGCAAATCATTCAGAGGAGGTCTCGGAGGTTGACTGTCCTGCGGAAGAGGACCTCTTTTCTATCCACGCCTCCGGAGGGGCCCTTGAAGTAGCCACCCTAGAAGATCCTAACAATGCCATCACCCTGATGCTTTGCCCCAATTGGCATATCCTTTTCCATGATTCGCATTAATCCCAGTGCCTCTGCACTATATATGGGTAAGTCCCTGGCTTGCAAACCGTTCACTCAGTTGACCGGTTGAAATAACAGCCACTGGTGCCCAAAGTTATGGCTGTTGCAGGGCTTCCAGTCATGTGACTGCAATCTGGACCCTTTGGCAACCCGTTGAGACTTACGACAGATTGCCAAGCCCTCCACGATCCCGTGATCGCCACTTGCAACCTTCCCTGCCAGCTTCTTCAGAAAGTCCACAAGGAATGTTGTAAGCCACTTCATTTCTCTACACAATGGGCTGCCTTCCTTCCCTGCCCCACGCTAGAGGGAAGGCAGGGCAGGAAATGTGCTGCTGTGCAGAGGCCGGAACAAAGCTGCAACAGCTTTGCTCCTTTGCACAGCGCATTGCTACCCACTCCCCATCCTCAGCCAGAGAGGGAGACTTTCTTTCTCTATAATGCATGGTGAGGAGGGGAGCCAGCATGCTGGGCCAGAGAAAGGAAGCTCAGATCATTTGGGATCCGGGCCCTTTTTTTTCTCCCGCTTAGCAACCGTTTCTATGCAACCGAGGGGATCTGCCTGTCCTCTTTTGGCAGGCATCTCTTTTGTTCCATTTGTTTAATGACGCATAACAGTGATGGCTAACCTTTTCGGCACCGAGTGCCCAAAGCATGCACACACACACACATACACACCCAAAATGCAATGCACATGCATCCCCACGCATGTGCCCCGCTCCCCACGCATGTGTGCACGTCCCCTGCACATGCACCCTACTCTCCCCCCCATGCACCCCGCCCCCACACATGCATGGCAGAGGCCTGAAGACCAGCTGGCCGGCATGAGGCGCATGCGCAGCTAAGCTGGGGCAACAGCTCGTGTGGCCAGAGAGGGCTCTGCATGCCACCTCTGGCATGCATGCCATAGATTGGCCATCACAGACCTATAACAACCAGACCTGAGAGGGCAAAGGACAGTGGTCACTGAGCAAGGTGAATTATGGGTGCCTCACTTAACAACCGCAATGACTTATGACTGTAATGGGCAAGATCCATTACGGTCGTTTCTCCAGGACTACCTGTAAAACCCAGCTTCAGTTGGTTAAAAGAGAGAGAGAGAGAGAGAGAGAGAGAGAGAGAGCGCAAATCAGCCACACAGGTCTTTTTCAAGCAGGAATGAAATAAGAAATCAGGACAGATCTCACAAAAAGCTGCCAAAGCCCAGTCTTGTTGGAGAGAAGGCAGGGAAGTTTTGGAACACAGGACATAATACAACCTGATGCACAGACTAGTAAATTGTTCAAGCCCTTAGGGGGTAAAAAAAAAAGCATGGAAAAACCAGAGGTGGCCAAGAGAAATGTATAAAAATTGATGGAAAAACTGAACTACAATCTTAAAATAATCATTTCAATACTGACGGCTACTAAAAAATAGTAGAATGAAAAGATGATGAGAATGAATAGGTGTGAGCTTATTTTGATATAAAGGAAATAGGAAAATAAGACATGGTTGGAAGTTCCATACATACCTTCGTAAGCTCCCTCTTCATTTATGGAAAGAGTAAGTATGTATGGCTTTTGGAAATCTTTGTGATCAATGCAGCGGAATACAAATTGCAAATGCTTATCTGGATGCAAAAATAAAGAGGCATTAAATCTCAGGTATGCCAGATAAAACTGTATATATATTTCAGATGTACTGCCGTTTTATAAAGTCTGAAACGGTTCCTCCTTTATTCTCACATTTTAAGAAATTATTAGTAATGAATGTCTAAACCAGGGCTCTTCAAACTTGACAGCTTTAAGACTTGTGGACTTCAACTCCCAGAATTCCTCCTCCAGTCATGTTAGCTCAGGAATTCTGGGAGTTGAAGTCCACAAGTCTTAAACTTGCCAACTTTGAAAACCCTTGGTCTAACTAGTGTAGGAAACGGTGTGGGAAATGGCAAACTGTTTCCCCCGGGAAGCTTTGACCAATCACAACTCCTGGTTTATTTGCACAGAGACTTATTTCTACTTTGAGAAAAGCTCCCCTGGATCCAAATAGTCATTTACAAAGGATCAATGGGAATACACACAATGCCTGATTGGGCTATTGTGCACTGAAGTTCCCCCCCCATCCCCTAACCCTGAATAATCTTGGGACCAAGAGTAACACTTTAACTGCAGTTTTAGAAATTCCCTTTAAAGAATAACAGATTTTTTTTGACATGTTTGTGCACAGACAGAAATAAATGGATGCGAACTGACTGCCTTTAATGAAGGACAGGCAACTTCAAGCCCATATAGGGCCACTATCCCTTTGGAGCCTTTCTAAAGGCCATTTTCGAAGATTTTAGGGATGGAAATGTGAACTGCTTGCCTTCCCCAGGATTTCTGGCTCCCGTGTCCATTCTTCAGAGCAGGGAGAGAAAAAGCCATTTGAAGAGATCAAGAAAAGGGAAGCTGCAATACACACTCCCATGGGCTTTCCGGTCCTTTTGGAGGATGGGCAGGAGATGAGCATCCCATTCAAATAAGTCTCTTGATAATCCAGTTGAAGGCTTTTATCAGCAATAAAAGCCCATCCCTGTTTGCAGGGTTGGCTGAAAACTTGAGGGCAAAACTAGGATGCGTAAATGTCACAAAAACAACCTAATGTATGTGTGACTGGATTCGCTAGCTCAGTTCTAATCAGTGGAACAACTGGCCTCCAGAAGTTGTGAATGCTCCAATGCTGGAAGTTTTCAAAAAGATGTTGGCTAACCATTTGTCTGAAGTGGTGTAGGGTTTCCTGCCTAAAAAGGGGGTTGGGCTAGAAGACCTCCAAGGTCCCTTCCAACTCTGTTATTCTATTCTATTCTATTCTATTCTATTCTATTCTATTCTATTCTA